ATTCAAGTACTGCCAGAATTTTGAACACACTGAATTATTCTGATTTCTTAAATGTCTTAGGCATCACATGAGATCTTATTTACAATAATGTGCAGTATTGCAAACATTAGTTGGTGACTATGATCACATTTACTTTTGGTTTTAAAACTATCCAGCCTTATTTTCTGCATTCACTTTCCAGACGTATTGCTTTGCCTGGGGTTTCATGTAGTCTGCATTTAAGTATACTCCATATTTACAACCAGTGAAAAGTAAATATAATATTAAAAATGTTTATGTGGATGATCCAGAAGTGAAGAACCAAGGTCTGTTTTTATTTTTATAAGTTTCTGCGACACACCTGTTATGTTTAATGTCCATCATTAGCAGAATCTAAAGTAAGAACACGTGACTTGAAAATCAAATAGATTTTTTCCTTCTTCCTCACAAACTAGAAATAGCTTTTATTTGTGTAATTACAAAAGTAATGGGCTTCTCCAGCCGTGGCCAGGTGGCTCCTTTGGTTAGAGCATCATCCTAATATACCAAGGTTGTAGGTTCAATCCCCAGTCAGAGCACATACAAGAATCAAATAAATGGAACAACAATCGATGTTTCCTCTCTCTCTCTCTAAAATCAATCAATAAAAAAATTTAAAGTAAATAAATATAGTTGAAGGAACTAAAATGTAATTTATTTTCTGCTTGCTGACATTGTTTTTCCAGAATGTTTATATTTTCTATGTATTAGCTACTAATGTATATCAATAAACTAAACTCATAGTATGAAAATATTTGAAAGCTGTAACATTCATTTCATTTAGAAGTTCACTGCAATAAATAAACTGTAAAATAATATTCTCAACTAAAAACAGAGAGAGCAACTATGTCCTAGATCCATTTGAAGATCAAGTTCTTCCTCAAGGAAAACTCCTGACAATTTTTAGAAGTGTTTTATCAATCAGAGTTTTCACCTGGCAAGAATAAAATGTAAAGAAGAAAAAAATTCTGGAATTTAGCTTCATATCTTCCCACTTACTGTATACAAGTAATGAAGATTAAAAAGCAATGTTTTCTTTTGCCCATCTTAGTATGAAAACACATTCACAGGAACATTTAGTCAAAACTCTGAGTTACAAGGGTTTAATGGTAGTCTAGAATAGGTGAAATTCAGGAATAAAAATGTAAAATTTCATTTTAACCAGTAGCTTACAAAAATGTTCTAGGCCTTTCCCTCCTCTGAATTCTTAAATTATTCCAATAAACGCCTTCTGAAAACATTCAATGTAAAACACACTTTGCTAAGTATTTGCACTTAACTTTATTTCAGCTAATGCTCGCTCTCATCAATCCTGTTCTCCATTTTACACATAACTAAACAAGCCGTAGAGAAGCTAAGTGACTTATCTGTGGTTACAAAGCTGTCAGAGGTGATGTTTGTGTCTGAAAAGGTTTTCAGACTACAACATAACTGTATTTGGTAATTACACCTGCTACCTTATAATACATTGTACTACTTTCACTTTATATTTCTTAATTTTTCCAATGTTCATGTCTGTAAGAGCAACAACTATGTTATGCTTCAATATCTCACAGTATCCCTTTAGTACACTGATTAAAGTTGTTTGTATAACAGAAGAATGCTGGACTACAAGTTTAAAAATTCTCAGGGCCTCACACTTATAAAATAACAATAACAAAATAATTGAGTGCTTATTGTGAATACTTTCCATGTTTTAACCCATTTAATCCTAACAGTCCTATGAAATCAGTACATTATTGTCCCATTTTGCAGATGAAAAAGCTAGAGGCTAGGGAGGTTCTCTGATTTGCCCAAGATTTAGGTTACAAGTTAGTAGGTAGAGAAGCTAGGTCTCATAAGCCATGGTATGGTTTCAAGTGATTACTTGCTTAAAGTTCAGACTATCCCTGTAGGACTAGATAGTGACTAAATGAAGTCATGTATTCATACAGTAGGGAGAGTAAAAATAATTTTAACTCTGGGCACTGATTTATTAGATATGACATCAAAAGCACAGGCAATGAAAGCAAAAATAGACAAATGGGACTACGTCAAACTTAAAAACTTCTGTGCATCAAAGGACACAATAAACAGAATGAAACACAACCTACAGAATGGGGAAAAATGCAAATCATATATCTGCTAAGGGGTTAATATCAGATTTATAAACTCCTACAACTAACCAAAAAAACAAACAAAAAAAAAACACCCAATTAAAAAAATGGGCAAAGGACTTGAACAAACATTTCTCCAAATATACAAATGGCCAACAGCATGTAAAAAGATATTCAACAACACTAATCATTAGAGAAATGCAAATCAAAACCACAATGAGATGTCACTTGTCAGGATGGCTACTATAAAAAAAAACCTAAAAGAAAATAACAAGTGTTAGTGAAGATGTGGAGAAAATGGAACTCTGGCACACTGTTGTTGGGAATGTAAAATGGTATGACTGCTATGGAAAACAGTATAGCCGTTTTCCCCCGAAGTAAAAATAGTACTACCAATATAACCCAGCAATTCCTTTTCTTTGTACATATCTAAAATGAGAGCAGGATCACAAAGAGATATCTGCACACCCTGTTCATGGCAGCATATTCACAATAGCCAAAATACAAAAATAATTTAGATGTCTACTGATGGATGAATGGATAATGTGGTATACACACGCAATGGAATACTGTGCAGCTTTAAAAAGGGAAATCCTACCACATAATACAGCACAGATGAACTTCAAAGACATCATGCTAAGTGAAATAAATCAGTTGAAAAAGGTCCTCAAGTCCGACCAGTGTGGCTCAGTGGTTGAACATCAGCCCATGCACCAAGAGGTCACCAGTTCAATTCCTGGTCAGGGCACATGCCCAGCTTGTGGGCCCAATCCCCAGTGGGGGGCATGCAGAGGCAGCCGATCAATGTTTTCTCTCATCGACGTTTCTATCTCTCTCCCTTTACCTTCCTCTCTAAAAAAAAAGTCCTCAAATAACAGTTTCATTCAACTTCATTTTGTTATACAGTTGATGAGCTGCCATAGAAACTTAATTTTTTAAATATTTTATTGATTTTTAGAGAAAAACGGAGAGGGAGAGAGAAACATCGATGTGAGAACAAAACAATCAGCTGCCTCCTGCATGCCCCCTTACTGGGGATCAAGCCCAAAACTTCAGTATGTGTCCAGACAGGGAATGGAACTGGCAACCTTTAGGTACACAGGTCAGGGCAGGAACTTAATTTTTGTTTATATTAATAAACCTATGACAAATGTGCTTTCATTATACATCATTTCACTTAAAGTTGCAGAACCTATGGACTAGGTTAAGTGAGGAATTGCTGTATATGATTCCACTTATATAAGGTATTTAAAGTGGTCAAATTTGAAAAGAAAATAGAATGATGGTTGCCAGGGGCTGGTGGGTGGGAAAAATAAAAAGTTGTTTAAGTGGCAAAGAGTTTCAGTTCCTTTTTTTAAAATCCTCACCTGAGGATTTTTCCATTCATTTTCAGACAGAGTGGGAAGAAGAGAGAGAATCATCGATGTGAAAGAGAGACACTGATTGCTTGCCTCCTGCCTGACCCTGACCAGGGCTAGGGACCAAACCGAAATCAAGGTACATGCCCTTGACTGGAATGGAACCCGTGACTCTCTGGAACACAGGCTAATGCTCTAACCTCCGAGCAAAATCGGCCAGGACAAGTTTTAGTTCTTAAGATGAAAAATTCTGGAGATCTGCTGTGTCAATGGTTAACACTACTATACCGCACACTGACAAAATGGTTAAATTGGTAAATTTCATCTTTTTTGCTATTTTTAAAATATTATTAACTCTTTTCTTTCACTTCCTTTTCCTGTCCTCTCTGGTATAGTATTCAATAGCGATGTAATGAAGGATAAAGAACAAACACAAGGGCTTCACCAATGTAGAAACAAGTTAAGAAAACAATAAAACAGATAACCCCACATAATTATCAATAATTTTCTTCTAACCTGGAAATACCTTAAACCTCCAGTGAAAATTACCCTATTGACAAGGCATTAGAGTGTAGTGGTTAAAGGCCTTTTGGAGCTGGAAAGCTCAAGTACTATTCTGACTTTGCTATTAATTACTGTGTAGCCAGCCTTGTGTAAGATATTCTCATCCATCCATCCATCCATCCATCCAAAAAACAGCCTGTTTCCATATGGGTAAACCTATTCATCAAATGAATCCTGTACCTCTACACAGGTTTGTTCTAAGGAATAAATGAAGTAATTCATATAAAACATTAGGCACATGGTCTGGCACTTTGTAAGTGTTCGATAAATGTTGGCTATTATTATTACTTTCAAGCTTAGGACGTGAGCAGGGTGAATTCAGTACTCTGTTCCTTAGAGATCTGCCTACTTTGGTGATAATTATGGTTTTATCAGATACTATTTAGTAAATCATTACTGACTCTATCATTCTTGTCAAATTTGTGCTCCTCTCTAATTCTAAAGTAACTCCCTCCCATAGAAAAGCAGTGTCATCTCAGGTATTTCAAAATGTTTTCTTTGAGGACAATGTTCTGCCCCAGAGATGGTAGAACCTGAGACCTGTACGTGAGCTACTAGAGTTCCCAGTTCCTCTCACTTCCTAGGGGCCTAGGCCTTATATGGGGGTGAGGACATAAAGCCCACTCTAGCAAGGCTAGAATGGGCCAGAGAAATGTCCCGGGGACGTTCTCCTGGTAGAACTCAGCCGGATATTTCCGAACACGGACCAGGGAACCGGCAACTGTCGCCTGTCAGCTGCGAGCCCCATCCCGCAGGCAGGCTGGTGCAGAGGGAGCCTCGGGCAGCCGGTCCCAAGCCTGCGCCCAGCGCTGCCCTGGACGGTGGGGCGAGGGTGTGTCGGGAGCTCCTTCCCTGCGTCCCTCGGAGGGGTCCCCACGGGCTCCCGGACCCGCGATGGTGGGGGCGGGGGCGGGTAAGGCGGCGGTCCGACCGGCAGGGAGGGAAGGGACACCGAGGGCCTCACCGCGGGCCGAGGGCAGTGGGTAGAGCTTCTCGGCCTTCTGCAGGAAACGCTGGGCCTTCTCGCGGTCGCCGGCGTTCAGGGCCTCCCGGGCGATCTCGACACATTTCTCCGCCTCATCCCGATTCCCCTCCATGGCTTGGCTTGCGCCTTCTTCCTGTTTCCTCCGGGAGCGCTGCTGCGAGGGGCGGAAGCCGCCGCCGAGGAGGCGAGGCCGCCCGGGTTGGGGCGTGCGGAGGCGAGTGGGGAGGAGCTCGGAGACCGCGCAGCCGGGCGACTGGCGGGCTCGCAGCTCCGCCTCCTAGCGGCGGCCTCCCCGCCCCCCCGGGCCACAACGGCGCGAGCTTCCTTTCCTGACCCCAGACCTGGGCGTCCAAGCTGACCCGGAGGTCTGTGCACAGCGCCAACAGACTCAGAGCCGATCCACCCGAGGGGCGGGAGACACCAGCCTGCGGAGGAGGGTGAGCTGGGCAGGAGTGTCCCACCAGGCTGCGACCTCCCACCGAAGCTGCGACCGGCCGCCAGCAGTGGCCGCACCCTGCACCCTGGCCTCCCCAAGGGCCGCAGCCCGTTGCTGGGCTGGGTCGCTGGATGGGAGGTGGGTATGCTCCTTTTCAGTGAAATTCCCAGAGATCAAAGGCCCGGGCCCCGGCCCCCCAGCATGGCGAGGATTTGGTCAGGTGACAACCTGTCCGTCCCTAACAGCGCTTCCGGCACAGGTATTGGTAAACACAGTAGAGCATGGTTAGACCCTAACTCTAGGGCTCATTTTATTGCCTTATTTTTAGCTACAAACCATTTTCTTGACCCAGAGTGCATTAACTGTCTCTTGATACCACTGAGGATCAAAGCAAGCTGTTTGCACCTATTCTGGCCTTAACCCTAATCCCTTTATAACCAAAACAAGGTAGGATCCATCTTTATGTGAATGCATTACCATCACAGAAATAAACTTACTCCCATTTTTCACATTGCCATACTGAAACGCTGGTCTCCTGGGGCGGGGCGGGGCGGGGGGGGGCAGTGGGGGCAGCAACCTAATACTTGGGCAAGTCATCGTCCAAATTTTTAAAAATGAAGACAACTAGCTTCCCAGAAACTAAATGTCAAAATCCACTCAAGTTATTGTTAGCCTTTTGGAAATACCAAAACTCAGGATTTCCAAATAAAAATCCTGATTCTCTAAGACATTACCGAGTACTTAACAATTTAATTCAGACTTCAAAACTGTGTAGCACACAGAAAACACTATTATCTCAAGTCTAAACAGAAAGTTCCTTCTGTGGAGGTAGCTAAATACAGAATTTGCCTAGGTGCCCTTGCCCCCACCCCCAAGTCCACCACAGCAATACTGTACCAGTGTAGTGCTGTCACAGCAAGTTTGGCCAAGACACAAACTAAGATAGACAGCCCAAGAACTTGTGCTATTCCAGTTCCTGCCAGTTTTAAAATCTTTTACTTAATATACACATATATATTAAAACAACCCGGCCTGCTAATTGCTTATCTAGAGAATTAAGTTCAATTTCCGGAGAATAAACATGCTTAAGTTATTGCTGGTTGAGATACCTATTAAAAAGAAAAGCATTCCTATCACAATCAAGCAAAGTTAAAACACAACTAGTTTGGGATATGACCTTTATTGAGCTTATCCACCGGAGTGGAAATAATGTCTGTACAAAACCAAATGTTTGTTACTATAACTTCTGCATCACAATTAAAATTCAAACAGTTTTTTAAAAACAGTCAACTCAATCAAAACCCACTACTTCAGAATCAATAGCTTCTTTGAAGCCACAGTAACACTTAAATATGGTTAAGACTCGAATGCAGAAATTTGGTTGGTTGGAAAGCTAATTAAACTTCCAACTTGCTCAAATAGAATTACAAAAAGGCAAAATTGTGTTTTTCACAGAGATACAGTCCACTGGAATCACCAACACTGGACAGCTGTTAAGAATATTTAGAGTCCTGAGATAATAAGAAATCCCGGCATCCTTTAGACAGTCTTCTGTTGTCCTTTCTTCCCAATCAGAGATTTGTGGATGTGTGGAATGACACCTAGGAGAGGGACAAGATTAATTCTACTTTTGAATACACATTTTAAACATCACACTGTACTTAAACCAGGAGAGTTGTTCAACTTGGAAAAATGTCTTTAAATGTGCATGTTTAGTATGCAAAGTAAAAATGCATTAAGTTACCTCATGATACTGTCATAAGTGAAAATATCAGTGACAATATACTTGTGTCCTTTTAGATGAAAAATTACTAATGGGAATTTTAACAAAAGCAAAGAATTATTTTCTTTAAAGGAATTTAAAGTAAACTTTTAGTATTCACATACCACCACCAGCAATTGTAGCCTTGATGAGAGAGTCCAATTCTTCATCTCCACGAATAGCAAGTTGCAAATGACGAGGGGTAATACGCTTTACCTTTAAGTCTTTTGATGCATTTCCTGCCAATTCAAGTACCTAGAAGGCAAAGGCTAATCAATTTCCTTCCAGCTCTTCTTTAGGTTAAGATCCAGAGCATAACCATACCTTTATGAATGTAAATCTATCAATAGTATCCCTCCTTCCCCCTTCACTACCTGAATGTCAAGACAGCATAAGCTATAAAGGGGGCACGCAATTTTATTTCCAAGAGCAGCTCAAGCTCAGTAGGATCCCTTAATGATCACCAGCTCCCTCTAGCGTTCCCAACGGTTTCTTGCCGCGTTTGGGGCCTGGGAGTTTTCTTGCATCACTTTCCTCCTTCCCTCTCGCCACCTACCCCCCCCCCCCAAACCTTTTCCAGATTATAGGCGTACACCCATTTACCTCTGCGGTGAGGTACTCCAGAATGGCTGCGCTGTACACAGCAGCAGTCGCGCCCACACGTCCATGACTGGTCGTCCTAGATTTCAGGTGTCGATGAATACGGCCCACCGGAAACTTAATTTTAAGCACAAACAAATGCACAAAGATATGAGTCAAAGATGGTAACATTAAACGGGCGCCAAAGCAAGGGGCAAGGATGCCAGTGCAGCAACGCGCCCCCATATTGATACATGTGATCGCCCCCCCCCCAATATTTATCGAATCGGCAAAACAAGTCGCGACACCGCATCACCCACGCAAAGACGAAACGCCCATTAAGAGCTACGATAAACAAGAAAGGAGGAGAAAAGAAAAACGCCACGATTCCCAGACTGCACCGAACAACCACTGACCTGCAAGCCGGCTCTCTGCGAGCGGGAAACCGCCTTTGTCTTGGCCTTTCCGGAGTCTTTCCCAGCCTTACCGCCAGCCTGCGGCGCGCACACGCCCGCGAGCGGAGGAGGAACGGAGAATATAGGATTACTAGGGCGGCTCGCCCCTCCCCCACCGCGGCGCGGCCCGGGCGCGAGCGCGCCCCCGTGCCCCGCCGGGGTCTCCGGCCCGCCGCGCACCGCAAGGGCGATCCCGCCTGCACGCCCCCCGCTGCGCGCCCGCCGCGGCCGCGCGCCTCCGTCAGCCCGTTCGCCGCCCGCTGGCCCCCAGCGGCGCTGTGAGCGCCATCCAACCGTCGCCACCCGCCGCGATATCGGAGGCGGCTCCGCTAACCACCGACAAATCGCCTCCCCCCGCTCTTCCAAATACTGTCTCCGTGCGTTCCCAACCGTCGCCACTTCACCCCCATCTCTGTGTGTAACGGGTTTTCCTCCTCCGGCAAAAACCCGCTGAGCCTTCGAGCGCCTCTGCGAAGTTTACCATTTCGAATTCTGCTGAAGCTCAAACAAGCAAGGCAGAGAAAGGAGTCAGACACCGAGCGAGATCCCAACGCCTACTCCGTCGCACCGCGATTCAAACTGCGCTGTCTCCCGCCTTCCCCGCTCTCTTTATACTGCAGAATGTTCCCTCATCCGGGAACTCGGATTGCTCGTCCCACCAATGGCTGCCACCCGCCCTCGGGACGCGTCCTTGAGACTTCAGCCAATGAGCAGGCGAAGAACAGGGCGGAGGGGCGGGCGCTTTGCAGCTCGAACCGCTATTGGGACGTGGGGAGGGAGCGGGGAGGGCGGAGGGATGGGAACCGGGGAGAAGAAGGGCACCGCGGCGGGAGGAAGAAACAGAGCGAGCTACGCTGCGGGAACGAGGACACCCTCCGTTTGTGGTCACGTGTCTGGGAGGAGGAGCTGAGAGGTTAGAGGAGGAGCACAGTTTAGCGCCACCTGGTCTCCTCGCCAGGTTCCGGTGACCACGTGAAGTCGCCTCCCAGTCTAACGCGCCCTCCTTCCTGTTCCCCGCCCCACACACTCTAGCGCGTCGCGGGCGGAGACCTGCTGGCATACAACCTTTTTCCGGGGCACCCTCTTCCCCACCCGACAGTCCATCCCTTGGTTTTGACAGATGGCGCGAATGCGTCTTGCGAGAAGCGTCCCGACTCCGTGTACCACAGCCTCGGTAGAGATTTTGCGTTACTTCACCCGAGGCGAGCCCCAGCCACCGACTGATCTCGACCCGGTGCCCCCACTTTATTTCAGCGGTCTCTCTCACCTCTTATGTTCTCACCACTTGAAACTCCCCACCGGACAATTACACGGGAGCAAACGGTGACTTTGCATTCACCTCGCTGGATGCAAACGACCTTTTGGTCTATGCACGGACTGCTTGGGGTGAGGCGCTATTATTTTATTGAATCAAATCATAAACTGTATTTTCCTGGAGACAACACATCAGTGGATTGTACCTATAGCCTCGTGCCTAACGTTGATTTAGTGATACCCTAAAGCTATTATGTGTCCATTTTTCTCTCCTAAACATTTTGGGACATGAGGAATGTTACATAAATGTCATTGGGTAACTCCTAATATGATTCACAGACAGTTACAGATGGCCCATGTAATCAATTGAAAATGGTAGGCTTGCCCTGGCGCGTTTGGCTCAGCGGTTAGAGCATTGACCTGCGGTCCAGAGAAACCCGAGTTCAGTTCCCGCTAAGGGCATGTACCTCAGTTGCGGTTTGTCTCTGGCCCTGGTTGGGTAGCGTGGGTGGCAGCCACTTCATGTGTACCTTTCACGTGGATGTCGCTTTCTCTCTCTCTTCCTCCCACTCTATCTGAACAAAATATGAAAAACTG